GTATGCTTCAAGCTTTGTGTCTAAGAGGAGACTGTTGTGGGAAGAAATTCGAGTAGTTCACCATCAGTACAATCACTCGAGTATGCCTTGGATCATGGCGGTGATTACAATAAGGCATAGCAACCACTCTCTCCCGTTGGACTATTCTGTTGTTTTGGAGTGTGGTAACAAATTATGTGGGACTTCACTTCACCTGGTGGAATCGTCGTGATGTGGATCCTATTGTTAAGAAGTTGGACAGAGCTTCGAAGAATACATTTGCGTTGTTCTGGAATCCGGATAAGGTGCTTATAAGGATAATGAAATAGGTAAAAGTTTACTGGGCACCCACCCATGTCGACTCCAGATTATTTTGGATAACCAACCACATGAACTTGCCATTGTACTTTCAAAGTAAAAGGCAAAGAAGAAGCATCAAAAGGACTGTTCAAGTTTCAAACGCAGAGGACACAAGAACAAAAAAAATATAGCATAATAGGAGAGCCATAAAATCCGTATCATCTCATTGAGCTCAAAGTACCCAAACATAAACCCTGCGTATCAGATACATGCAAAAGCAAAGGCGTCTCTACTATAAGTCTAAAGCCACCTCAAGGAGGAGAAGAGAAATCGCTGTCCCTGCTTCAGTTTATTGTGCTAAAGTAAATCACTCTTCCCTGAAAACAAGATTTTTCCGCAATCAAATTCCAAAATGATGTTATAGAACATCTGCCTTTCAAAGGAGCAAAACAAAAAACTAGAACGATTCAGCCGTGTAGAACTCAACTAGAGATGTTGGCAATGGGAGCCAGTGACAAGCTGTCAGTTATGTTCATGTCTAGTGAAAATGGGAAGCAAATTTGCGTAGAGAATGGTAATACAAATGATATTGTGGCCAGGTACCAAATACACTCACATGCGAAACCCCATACACGAAAATCCGTCAACAGATAACATAACTCAATCAGCAATCCAACGGCAACTAAAAGTTTCTTCTAGCTAACAGGATCATCATACAAAAACAACAGAGAAGCTACGACTTCCCACTTATTCACTCATTAGACCAGGGCACCACTATCCTGAATCTGCTATGCCATCTACGAATTCTCAACATTTTCACTAATCAAGATCACCCACACGAAATTTCATTCTAGATATCAATATGGGAGAATAAAATCCAATACACAAAGCATTACAGCCAAAGGTTTCCAGAGCTATAGAAGTGATCAGCTAAAAACTAGATAAAAGGAAAGAAGAAGAATCATACCATTTGATGAGCCAGCCAAAGAGGAAATGCTGCATAATGGGGACTTTCTCGAGCACTTCGACTTTATACATCTTGAGCAAACCGCTATTCACTTTCTTCCAGTTTGGTACACCGCTTATATCATCAAGCAACGGCGAGTGCTCAGCGAACAAACCCTTCTTCACCTTCTTCACAAAGGCAATACAAGACAAGTACATGTATTCACTAGAGAAATTCTCCAAAATGTCATCGTTATGGATCGATTTCGGTTTCATATACTTGTGATCAATCAACTGAGAGCTCCCAAATATGAAAGGCAAGAAATGGTAATCATCAAGACCCCATACTCCATGAGATCCAGCAGGTTCTAAGCAATAAACCATCTGCAATTTTCGCATCAATTCCAAATACTTGACAAAAACCCTAGCAACCACACCATGATAATCCTCTTCCTTGATGATCCCCATCCTCGCTAAGCAATAAAGCCACGCCGCGAAATTCGTCTCGTGTCCGGTTCCGTAATCGATCCTACTTCCGTTCCCAAAGCTATCGAAGAAGTAAGGAACGATTTCTACAGTAGATCCTTTAAACTCATCGGGAAGAAACCCAAGGAGAAGCGACTCGCCTTTCTCTGCGAGACGCTCGTGCCATGACCGGAAAGAAATGTTACCGTATCGAGACGACATTTGAACAGGAGGAATCTCGTCGATCCACTGCAACAAGGTCTCAAGGATCGACACTATGGCGGCGACGGTAGGTGAGACATGGCAAGGATCTGATACCTTGTGTCCGCAGATCGATTCCGAGAGAGAAACTACGAATCCTAAGAAGTTCTTACAAGAGGGGGATTCCTGGAAACGGCGGATATCGTCGGGGGAGTGGATTCTCTTGACGGGACACTCGAAATGATACGGCGGAGAGACGATAGGGACTTGCTCGGCGTGAGGAACGGGAGAGAGAATGATCGCCTGAGAGTTGTGAGGAAGGTTAATAGCCGGAGCTCGGATCGGGCGATAGTTCGGAGGCGGTGACATCTCGGGTAACGAAGCTAGAGGTGGCGGCTCAGAAATCGTTGGTCCGCCGCAGTTAGTACAGCATCCAGAGGGAGGATAAGCGGAGGAAACTGTCGCCGGAGCTTCGGAGGCAGATTTCTCTGGCGTGTGTTGGTCCTTTGGAGGTTCCATTTCGCAGTTTACAGAGACGGAACAATACTCATGGAATGGAATGTGAGAGAAAGGGAAAGAAAGTTCATTAGGATTACATACTGAACGAATAAGCCCAAATAGGCAAATATGTTTAAGAGGCCTTTTATTGGTAGTGTTGTTAAATAAAGCCCAAATATGTAAGTGATCTATCACCTAGTACTAGAAGTGTGATTTTTGGAAATATTGTGCTTGAGAGTTTGAAAGAGATGCCGAACTTAGAAATTTTGGTTGGAGGATCTGGAATTCGGAGTAAACCACCCAATGGTGACGATTTCACAAAGTGTGCAAGATGACAACTCTCAACCCAAAGAGGCAAATCATGCTAACTTTGATGACAACTCTACTGATAATTTCATCGACCGTTTCATGTTTCTTCCCCTTCTCTAGCTTCCCAATTGTTTATTTGCATAGTGATTTTGGAAATTTTATCGCTATTTTCTCCGGAACGATTGCTTCTCAGCATGTTGATATTTTGTTTTCGTGTTTTTTTTTGTTTCGCCATATAATCGAATTCATAGGTTTTCAGTTAGTCAGAAACAAATTGTAACTTAAACTATTCATTTCTTTATATATGCATTTTATTGATTGTAACCTAAACTAATATCATTATCTATATTTTGGGACGTTTTATTGATTGTCTTTTCAATAAAACAAATTGTAACCTAAACTAGTTTCATGATCTATATTTTGGGATGTTTTATTGGTTGCCTTTTCTTCATTTTGTTTCCTACATATACTTAATCCCCTACGATTAATCATTTTGACCCAATTCTTAGTCATTAATTTATTCATTCGCTAATTTGTT